ATAAAATCATATAAAACCGTTGTTTAATGAACAACTGTCAAATAATTTTTAAAAATAATAAAATAAATATAAAAGTTTTTTTAATAATCGCTATATAGATTTAGATACTATATAACAATTATTTAATACAACCAATATATATATATATATATATAAAATTTCTTAATTAGTTTCAATCCTGCTTCAACTATACAATGACTTTTAGAAATGTTATTAGGAAAAATTATGAATAACACTTGCACAATATACTTGTTTATAAATAATTCTTACAAGTTTCAAAAACTATAGTCAACTTCTTTAGAACTTAAGTGTAATTTATGATAGGATATAAGGATAATACTGCCCCTATTAATTTGGCCTTTACTTATAGTCACAAATTCACAATTTACAAGTAAAACTTCATAATTTATAGGTCAAATTTATTATTTAATACTTAATATAATATAAAGTTTTTATAAAGTCAAACTATTTTTTTAAGCAATAATTACATGATGAATTATGAATTTTACATCTCAATTAGGCCAACCTTAGATAGACATAATTAACTTCATAGAGGCTCCATATTATATGAAGTGCTAAACAAAAAATTTGATTTGTAAATTATGAGATTTTATTTGTAAATGATGAAGTTGTAGTTGTAAATAAAAGCCAAATTAATAGGAACAATATTATCCTTGTACCCCAACTACAACTACAACTAAGTCCCATGGCCCATCAGTATCCACTTACTTGGCTCCTATGTTCCTTGCGTTCCAATAATTTCCTTGTATTGTATCCTTTCAAACCCTTCTTTATCTGCTTCATATATGGCATTTCTGAACTTAACAGGAATGACTTATGTTTTTTTGTACTGGCCTTAGAGATCATATTGAAATATATTTAAAATAGATCAATATATATATATATAATTTATAGAAAGTTATGTTATTTATAATTTATAATTATGAACAATATGGCTCATATCATAATGTGTTAAAAATAAGCTCACAATATAGCCCAAACTAAATGAGAAATTGTAATGCATATAGATTGTTTTTAAGCAAACACAAGCACACAATACTAATTAATTTAATGACATAATTAGTATTAGTATTAGTATTGGTTTTATGATGTGTCATCACGGCTGTGAAGGAGAAGGAGAAGGATAGGTAAGTGACAGAGAATGGTGATATTACTTTTAAGAAACCGAGTTGCGCGTAGATAGCCAACAAATTTGTATTTAATCTATATAAAAGTACATCTAGATAATCAATATATAATAATTATAAAAATTTTAATATTAAATTAAATTTTTTAAATTAAATCTAGATCATATTAAAAATAAAAAATTGTTCAAACTATTTTATAATTTTTAGTTTAACAAATATAAAAAATAATATTTTAAACCTAAACCATCCAAATTAAAATCTAAACAGTTTAGACTTCATTGAACTAATCTCACTAAAGTTAGGTCAAACAGAAAGGATGTATTGGGCCTGTTTGAAGTTTTTTTTTATTGTTATGAAAATTAGTGTTCTGTTGAACATGTGTTTTTTTATTATTTGTCCTTATTCTTTAGAACCATAATCCTAGAACATTTATGTTTTCATTTTTTTATTCTTTAGAATAATATTTTATTTTTTTATTATCCAAACACTTTTTAAAAATACATTATCAAATATATTTTTTTTAAAGAATAAAAAACTATTTTCAAAATATATTACCAAATAGGCCCATTATTTGCCTCTTCCCTTGGTCAAATTATGTATGTTTAACAGGAGTGAAAAAAACTTATTAAAATTTTAAATAGAGTTAATGAATTTATATGGTGATTACATTGAAATAATAACTACCATTTAGTCTCATAAGGTAAGAAAATTAAAAATAGTTAGTCCATATAACAATTTTTTAAAATAAATATAGCTATAGGAGCTACAAAATTGCTGTTTACGAACAACCGTCAAATAGTTTTTGAAAAATAATAAATATAAAAGTTCTTTTAATAATTGCTATATAGATTTAGAGACTATATAATAATTATTTAATACAACCAATATATATATATATATATATAGTGTCTTCATTAATTTCTATCTTGCTTCAACTATACAATAACTTTTGGAAAAGTTATTAGGGAAAATTATGAATAGCACCTGCAAGATATACTTATTTATAAATAATTCTCACAAAATTCAAAAATTACAGTCAACTCCTTTAGAACTTGAGTGTAATTTATGATTAGGATATAAGGACAACACTGCTCCTATTAATTTGGCCTTTACTTACAATCACAAATTCACAATTTACAAGTAAAACTTTATAATTTACAGGCCAAATTTATTATTTAATTCTTAATATAATATAAAGTTTTTATAAACTAAACTATGTTTTCTTAACCTATAATTACATGATGAATTATGAATTTTACATCTCAATTAGGCCAATTATAACCTTAAATAGACATAATTAACTTCATAAGGGCTTCATATTATATGAAGTGTTAAACATGAAATTTGATTTGTAAATTATAAAATTTTACTTGTAAATTATGAAGTTGTAGTTGTAAATAAAAGCCAAATTAATAGGAACAATATTATCCTTGTACCCCACTACAACTACAACCAAGTCCTATGGCTCGTCAGTATCCATTTACTTGGCTCCTATATTCCTTGCGTTCCAATAATTTCCTTCTTGTATTGTATCCTTTCAAACCCTTCTTCATCTGCTTCATATATGGCATTTCTGAACATAACAGGAATGACTTATGTTTTTTTGTACTGGCATTAGAGATCATATTAAAATATATTTAAAACTAGATCAATATATATATATATATATATTATAAAAATTTATGTTATTTATAATTTATAATTATGAACAATATGGCTCATATCATAATGTGTTAAAAAGAGGATCACAATATAGTCCAAACTAAATGAGAAATTGTAATGCATATAGATTGTTTTTAAGCAAACACAAGCACACAATACTAATTAATTTAATGACATAATTAGTATTAGTATTAGTATCGGTTATATGACATGTCATAACGGCTGAGGAGGAGAAGGATAGATAAGTGACGGAGAATGGCGATGTTACTTTTAAGAAACCGAGTTGCGCATGAATAGCCAACAAATTTGTGTTTAATCTGCACAAAAATACATCTAGATAATCAATATATAATAATTATAAAAAATTTAATATTAAATTAAATTTTTAAAATTAAATCTAGATCATATTAAAAATAAAAAATTATTGAAATTATTTTATAATTTTTAGTTTAATAAATATAAAGAATAATATTTTCAATCTAGACCATTCAAATTAAAATCTAAATAGTCTAGATCTCATTAAACTAATGAGCACCAAAGTTAGGTCGAAGAGAAAGGATGTATTGGGCCTGTTTGAATTTTTTTTATTATTATGAAAATTAGTGTTCTGTTGAACATATTTTGAGAACAAAAAATAATGAAAATATGTATTTTTCTTATTCTTCTTTGTTTTTTAAAACAATAATCCTAAAACATTTATGTTTTGATTTGTTTTATTCTTTAGAATAATATTTTATTTTTTTATTCTCCAAACACTTGTTAAAAATACGTTACCAAATATATATTTTTTATTTTTTTTATTTTGAAGAATAAAAAACTATTTTCAAAATATATTACCAAAGAGGCCCATTATTTGCCTCTTCCCTTGGTCAAATTATGTATGTTGAATAGGAGTAAAAAAAACTTATTGAATTTTTAAATAGAGTTAATGAACTTATATAGTGATTACATTGAAGTAATAACTATCATATAGTCTCATAAGGTAAGAAAATTAAAAATAGTTAGTCTATATAATAATTTCTTAACATAACACTTATATAGTTGTAGGGGCTATAAAACTATTGTTTATGAATAATCGTTGAATAGTTTCTCAAAAAAATAAAAAATAAATATAAAAGTTTGTTAATAATCACGCTATATAGATTTAGAGACTATATAATAATTATTTAATACAACCAATATATATATATATAGTTTCTTAATTAATTTCAATCCTGCTTCTATGACTTTTGGAAAAGTTATGAGGGAAAATTATGAATAGCTCCTGCACAATATACTTATTTATAAATAATTCTCACAAAATTTAATAACTACAGCCAACTACCTTAGGATGTTTGAGATTGAGTAGGGAAAAACAAAAGAATGTTTGGGGTTGGCATCATTGACATCATTCAACATATAATATTTTTTTTAGACATCCATTTAAAATGCTTTTGCAAATCTTTTCTATTGCAAGAGTAACATTTTATTTCAAAAAACTCTTGTCTGTTTCTTTTTTCTGAGACTAAAATCTCCAAAAAAATTCTTTATGAATCATTCTAAGGAATGATATTGCATTATCAAGAAATTTTTGTTAATTTTAAAAAGACTACTTTGTTAATTCCATATAATAATGTCGTGAATCATTATAAATTGGTTGTTAGGGATTTTTTTTACTCCTTCTAATCTTATTTATAAGTCATTTCTAGATGTTTAACCAAAACTAAGAAAAACCTTAAAACTCATTAATTTTGTCTTAAAATTTAACAAGTTTCTTCCTTTACCACCTAATATATGTTCTTAAATCTCATTATTAGTATTTTTATTTAAAGTATTTAATAAGGGCAAAAATATAAAAAGGATCATTGAGAATTGACAAGTACCCTATAAATAGGATCAAATTTTTCTTTCTATCTTTACCCTGTAAATAAGACTAGAGGAGTATCATAAAGGAGTTGTTAATTTAAAAAGGATACTTGTTAACTCCCTACACCATGTGAATTAAATGCTTACAGTTTACTTGTTATTAAGACTATGTTCATTAATTTGTTCATCTTTATACATACACACATGTACACATGTCTAACATTTTGGCATTCATTGATTAGGCATTCATTCATTAGACACATATAATAATGTCTCGATGTTTGTGATTGTTTTGGGAATGCTTTTGGTCTTGAGTTCAAACCAAAGGTTTGGACGTTTTTGACATTCCATATTAGAATTATTTTTCTTTCTTTTATATCGTTCATCCAATATAAATCATCAACTAATTTGATGTTCATCAGTTGGCTTCATCCGAATTGGGTTCTCAAGATGAGATGAATTTTGAAAATAAAACGAGAAGAAAGCTGGTGTCGCTGACTGTCTCCTGTATTTTTCAGTAGATGGAGACGTACAAGAGCGCGACGTTGCGTGCCCATCTCAACACAGACGGAGGAATCTAACGGAGTTTGCTAGTGTCCCTTGCAAAAAGAGAGGAACGGCACTTGCAAGGAGGTATGCAACATTCCACGAAAAATCACTTCTACTTTGTCCTTTATAAATCGCCTATAAATGTTCCTTCATTTTCATCATCGGCAGCACTACCATCTCGTCCTTCACTGCTTCAAATTCGTCTCTCAACTCTTCCACTTTCGAGTTTTCCTTCGGTTCTCTCTCCATCTCCTCCCTCCCTAACATTCCATCATCCGCTCCGATCGCAAATCCCTTATTTCCGCCTACATCAATCCGTGTCAATGCCGCACCCTCACGCCGGCCATGTTCAAGCCTACCACCACCTCGCCGGGGTGTTCGAGCCCACTGCACCCAGCTCCGACATCCTATGGTACCTCCACATCTACCCCCACAACAGCAAGTTTATCATCATCCGCTCCAATCAAAATTCCTTCATTTCCATCATACAAAGTACAATCCATATTCTTGGCAAAAAAAAAAAAAAGTGCAATGCATATTCCAAATCATCATGGATCCATGTCAACCGGTGGTAAGCAAAGCAACTTGTCTTTTTTCCGGGAAAAAAAAAAAAGTCCTTTCTTTCTTTTTTTTTTTGTTTTTTTTTTTTTATAGAAGTGTGTAGTGCACCTCAAATTTCTGAAATCTGGAGGTAAGGTTGTTTTCCTGCAGCAAAGCACTAAAAGAAAGACTAGGCTGTCTTTGGATATAACTTTCTCTATTTAAAAAGTACTTCGGGCATGTCATGCGTCTAAACACGAATGTTTTTTGGATATTTATTATATTGATCTGAAAGTTTATTTGAGATCTAACTAAAGTTGATTTTGAAAAAAAAAAAATCATGTAATAGCTGACAAGTGGAATTTATTATGTAAATGAATTTTCGACAAATGGAATTTTGAAAAAAAAAACTTTTACTAGATTAAAAATTAAATTAAACTCATTCTAACATGTATACAACGACAAGAGAACAGTACATATTCCAAATCATCATCCAGGTCAACCGGTCAGCAAAGCAATAATTAGAAAAATGGATCAAGAGCAAGAAGATTAAAGCATATGCACAACAAAATATTTAAAAACAAAGAGCAAGACCGATATAAACCATAAGAATGCAATGGCAAGAGCAAATTAATTGAAGAAAACACTGAGAGATGTAGCTTTAAACACACGGCGGAATCAGACAGAAAGTGGAGCAAGAGGGATCTGTCTGTACAAAAACAGCGAAGTCCTTTTGAGGTAGGAAATGTTTGAAAACGAAGAATCATACCTTTGAATTGAGAAACGCGTCGTTTGATGGCTCGTGATGAACATATATCCTAAAGCTAACTCAATCCTGCGTCGACGCTTCGATTTAAAAGGTTCACAGTAAGGCAAGCGAAGGATTTAGAGACGACGACCTTCACTAGCCAAGTCTTCTATGCATGGGCCCCACCTCAGCTACCATTCAATCTGCAAACTGGCCGGTAGTACATTGGTTGGATATATATTATAATCGCGGAAGATTTCATTTTTACCATCTCAAAATCGAATTATGTTTAATTGGATTAGTTAGGTGGAAACTCATTAATCATGGTTAAACATTGATATTTTTAATAAGGTAAATTAGAGGAGAAAGGAAGAACACAAGGATAAGAGCATTAAAAATAAATAATTATGCCACTTGTATGCCTTGTCATTACAAGAATCATGAGGTGATTGCAAGCCTTGTCACATATTTTACAATTCATCATGAAAAAATCATTCAAAGGAACTGGTTTTGGTGCTAAGCACCCTGATATTAAAAAAATATAAATGAAATCTCTAATATAAAGATTAGAATATAGATCATAAATATATAAGCTTATAAAGTATCTAACTAAATAGTTTAAACTATTTTGATAGGGTATATTATTCTTAAGTATATTTAATATAAGAAACCTTAATATAGTATCAAGAGGAGAGAGAGAGAAACAAAAAGAAAAAGAATGAAAGATGAAAGATGAAAAAAATATTAAAAAAATGGAGGGAGAATGAGAAGAAGAAGAAGAAATTGAATAAACTTGAGGCTTCTAAGTTAAAAAAATACAAGCCCAGGAAAGAAGAAAAAGGAAAAAAAAGAGAAAAAAATAATAGAGAGAATATTAGAAAAACATAAAAGAAATCATACATCTATAGATTAAAATATAGATTATAAATATATAAGTTTAGGAAGAAAAAAATATGCGATTAAGGTAAAATAGAGGGGAGATCAGAGTATTTAACTCTAAATAAAAATAAGAAACTTTAAAATCTAGACCATCTAGATTTCGAAAGAGTGATAAGCATTAAAGTTGGCTCCCACAATATAGCAAGGACAAATAACAAGAAACATTTCAAAATGTCTAGACTACAATTTACTTGAAGTGTTTTTTTATTTTTTTTAGGTTAAGGGTTGCTTTTGCTCTCAAATTCATCATGCAAGGTTTGTGGATATTTCGAACTCAAAGTTGAGTCATTTTTTGTCTTTAAGTATTTTATGAATCATTATTATTTTTGTACCATTAAGGCTACCACATTAGGCCGAGAAAAATGTTTATTTATACCCTATATAAACAATCATTATTTTTCTCATTAAGCATTAATGTTAATTAAATATTTTTATTAAGAATTTACTGTTTGTTTATACCCCACATATAATGTTATTGACAATACCAATAAGTCAATAACAATTGCTACTGCTGAAAGTTTTTTAAAATTAAAATTGCTTAAATCTTATTTAAAAATCAACCATGTTACAAAATACATAAAATAGATTAGCTATATTATTTATTGAAAATGAAATGTTAGAATTACTTAATTATAAATTTTTAATATTTAATTTTGCAATTCAAAAAGTTAGAAAAGTGATATAAAGATAGATAAATGACAATATAATACGTCTCTTAAATAATTTTGCTTTAGAATCTAAAACTTTTTCACGTGACGTTGTTGCTAATAAACCTAACTGATAATTGATAAACCCTCCCCATTCGAATTGTGATTTTCTTGTCACTATGTATTATTAATTAGCTCTAACCCATTTCCAAACAAGTCCTACCATGCTACTACTACCCCCTCACCATGTATTGGCTCTAACCCATTTCTAAACATGTCCTACCATGCTACTACTACCCCCTCACCTTGTTGCTCATCATTATTATGAGATTTAAAAAATCTAGATGGTCTAATTTAATATTAATTTTTTTATAATTTTCATGAATTGATCATTCATATATACTTTAACAGTCTAGATTTAATATTAAAATTTTTATAATTTTTATAGTTTTGATTTTAATAAATACAATATTGAAAACAAAGATAATATCCTAAATAATACTTTTAGAAAAAAATATTTTTAAAAAAAATTGTCTGTTAAAACTTTAAATCTGAATTATCTAGAATAAATTTAGATAATAAATTTATAAAATTATGGAAAAAATTTTTTATAAAGTTTAAATTAAATCTAGACTATCCAATTGGTAATAAATAGATTTATTAAAATTATTTATAATTTTTTATTTTAATAAATATAAAATATAAATAAAATAGTAAAATACAATGACCTCACTTCTATTTTGCTAAAATTACAGAGACTTTTCCTCTATTTAAAAAACCTACACTTTAATCTAATTTTTAACACCATTAATTTAAAATTATTAATTTTTTTCTTATAATCTAATTGTCTACTCTCTCTAAATTTAAAAATATTTACCATAATTAAGTATGTCTATATTTAAATAAATAATTAAAAATTTTGTTTCAAAATTAATGATATTTAAGGAAAAATAAATATAAATTATATTGAGTACTTTACTCTATTAAATCCTTATTTTATTAAATTTTTTAACCGCATGTTTGAATATCTTTTATACAACTTATGTATTTAAATTTTTAAAAATCAATAAATAAATTAATTTTTAAATTTACATAACTAAAAAATTTTAACTATAAATGAAAAGTAAAAAATATATGCATACTTTTTTGGGTAATTTGAATGATTTTTAGACAACATTTATATTTATAGAGGGGATTTTAGTCCAACATAATTGACTTAACGGTCAACTAATGATTGTATAGATGGAAATGAAATCTTAGAAATATAGGGAATGTTTATCTTTTGTATCTATTCATATTAGGAGAGGTCCCTATAGGTTTTAAAAATAGAATGATTGTATATGTAATTAAGGTAAAATAGAGGGGAGGTCAGAGTATTTTATTCTAAATAAAAATAAGAAATTTTTTCATCACCAATCTAGGCTATATGGATTTAATTTAGATGATACAATTTAATATTAAATTTTTTATAATTTTTGTTCTAAAGGGCTAATTTGCCTTGAAAGTTTTTTGCTAGCTAGGTGTATGCAAGCTAAGTGGTATCTTAAGTTTTGACTCGCATAATATTGCCCCAAGAGTTTAAAACATAATGCAATTTTATCCTATAATAATGTTTGACTAAAGACTATTAGTTGAAAAATTTTGACTTAGATTAAAAGGCAATTTTGCCTTGGAAGTTTTTTTGAAAGGGAAATTATTAGTATCCTAAAATTTTGATTAGCACTATATTTTTTGAGTTATCAATTTTTAAATTACAAGAAAAATTTTAACAATCCATTATCATTGTCAAAATGTTTTGTATTTCTGGATTTTGATAGGAGGCCTTACTTGAGGTTGCTTTGATGCAAAACCAACCCTATCTCAAGCACTCCACACAATTTCCCTCTAACAAAGTTTAGACTTACTCTTATTTTGCCCATAAGCAAGCCCAAGCATGTGTACATGAGCAAGTCTTAACTTTATAGACTTAACCGTGAGCACATAAAAAACTTGTTTAGACTTGTTCATTGGCAACAAAGACTAGCTTGGATTTGGTCTTAAAGGAGTTTAATATGGTTCAACCTAAAATCTTCTATTTTGGATTATGACAGGTTGTTGGATCATTCTTATGATATGAAAGTTGATAAGAAAAAATATTTTGCTAATCAAAAGTTGAAGATCTCAAGATACTGATTGCTCCTTCAAACAAATTTCTAAAGTAAAATTGCTCTTTAAGCTTAAAAATAACTGTCAATGTTAGTCAAACATTATTATAGATTGATATTACATCATTTTTAAATTTCTGAGATAACATTGTGTCAATTGAAAGTTAAAAATACTAGTTGTACCTAAGAAAATACTTTCCAAGATAAATTTGGCACTTTAACCTCTTTTTTTTTAAAAAAAAAAAAGCACCCTACTTCACCGACTTATGCTATACCACCACCCATGCATTGTCTGCATCAACGTCAACCTCCATCATGATCGAACCACCACCAATGGTCTTGGCCAATCCCCACTGATTGCTACCGTCTAGTTGTGGCCATTAGCTATCGCCTACTCTAATCGTTGCCCACAATTAGATTACTGAAAGATGTTGTTCAAAGGCTTAAGGCTTGATTGTTCATCTTCGTACCAGCTCTACACCAACATGCAACTTGGACATGGAAGAAAGTGACTCTCTTGAGATTTAGGAAAATGGCTTGTTTGTCTAAAGGCCCTTTGGAGAATGACAGAGATATCTTAAGGAGATCAATTAATTTAACTTAGGTTTCAAGTTTATTAACTTTAGGAATTTATAAATTTAGCTCTCAATTTTGCAACTTTGTTATAATAAATTTGCAACTTGTGCTCCAAATTTTAATAGAAAAAATGAATTTATTTATTCTTCAATCACGTAAAATTTTAAAAAATAAGTTTCAAATTTATTATAATAAAGTTATAAAATTGAGAAATAAAACTTACAAATTTTTAAAATTTAAAACTTGATAACTAAGTTGAATTAACAATAAGGCCTCTATGTCATCTCCCAAAGCTCCTTAGGCTACAAGTCCAAAACCTTCTTGTCTGAAGTTTTTTTTTTTTCTTCCAAGTCAAACATTATTATAGGGTAAAATTGCATTATGTTTTAAACTCTTGGGGCGATATTATGTGAGTCAAAACTTAAGATGCCACTTAACTTGCATACACCTAGCTAGCAAAAAACTTTCAAAGCAAATTAGCCCTTTAGAACAAAAATTATAAAAAATTTAGTATTAAATTATATCATCTAAATTAAATCTATATAGCCTATATTGGTGATGAAAAAATTTATTAAAAAATTATAATTTTTATAAATTTTATTTTTAAAGATATAAAATTAAAAAATAAGTTTTAAATCTAGAGAATATGGAGTTGTTTAAAATTATTTTTATTTTATTGTTTTGAGAACTGGTATTCTGTAAAACATGTTCTGAGAATAAAAAAATAATAAAAATAGGTACTTTTTTTATTCTCTCTTGTTCTCCAGAACAATAATTACAGAACACCTAAAAGTTGTTTTTATTTTTCTATTCTTCAGAACAATATTTTATTTTT